TTCCCTTTTGCTGCTGCTGCTGTGCTGCTGCAGAGCAAAGGTGCGTCACCTGTTCACGTGTCACAACGACATTGTAAACAGGATCGTCATCGATCCCAACGGCTCCAACGTATACTTCACCTGTGGAGGTAACGTCATGACATGACCTGTCCCCTTCATCTTTCGCGTCTCGACCTGGTTGGCCTTTACTCAACACGAAAATGGCGGAATGAAACAGATGATGGAACAGTTCGTAGATTTGATCGTCGGGTGCAGCACGAATGCCGGTGCGTAACCATTCATACCATGAACCAACGCTGCGTTGACCCGCGCTTCTGATCGCGGCGTGCGGGTGTCCAGAGGTGCGGGCGAGCAGTGCGAGGACAACGTCTTCGTAGATCTGACCAAAGGCGACAAGTACACAAACCGCAAGTACGGCGCTCCCCCCATCAACTTCCCGGGGAGCACACGACTAAGACTAGCCCCCCCCCCCGAGGGGACGCCGTCTCCTCCCTCACTGCAGTGTGGGACTCAATACCCTCTCGATCAACCCGAGCACGGGCCTACAGATCGCCACGGCTGGGTCCGATCCGTTTGTCAGGTGAGCAAACAACACGTGTAGTTTAAAGCTGCTCGCGGCGCATTCAATTCGATTGACACGAGAGCAGGCTCTACGACGTGCGGAAGCCGACACAACCCTTCCGCGTGTACCGGCCGTCCTGGCGCTCGGAAGAGCAGCGAAAGGCCCAGTACGCTCCTCCATTGCTCGCACATTGCTCACGCGTGGTTGCAATGCTCAACTACATTTGGTTGCCAAACCCAGGCGCTCGGGTCGGTCACTATACATGTCCCACCCGCACCTGACCTCGCTGGTCTTTGATCGCACCGGCACGGAACTGCTCGCGAGTTATGGTGGTATGCTCTTTACAAAACCGTGTGTAGCGAGCGATTGATCGTCTTGGCTTGCTGTCTGAATCAATCTCAGCCTCACCGGTCTGTCGTGTGGCTTCGTTCTGGCAGGGGACTACATTTATCTGTTGTCTCTGGCTGGCGGGACGGATGGTGTCACGCTCACGGAGGGAATGGAGATGGAAGGCGGAATCCGCGCGGCCTCCCCAACGCGACCGCAGCGCGGTGGTGACGAGGGAGACTGCGGCGATATGATGAACAGCCAACCGACGACCTCTCCGCCGAAGCGAAAGCGAAAGCGAACAAGAAGC